AAAGGGTGAGAGGTTGGGAGGGAGTTGAATGAGACATAAGAGAACAAAAGAATAATCACATATTTAAGGGAAAATTGCACACAGGTCCCACAGAAGAATTAATTCTAAAAAAGTCCCTGGAAATCCCTAAATGCTTCCTAAGTCCCCAGGGACCTCAGAGTAAAAAAATTAGAATTGTGAAATTACCTACTTACCCTCACTGATTGAAAAAGGAAAGAACAGAGGGAGAGAAGCTGATTGGCTTCAGTTAGTGTGCTGGATTTTTATGCATGCACGAGGAAGAGAAACTTCTGAAAGAAGGAACGGAGGTCTGTGCTGGTGCTTCATTATTGCAGGCAAGCTATATTTGTTCTTCATCTTCTTTGTAGGTCTCATTATAACAACATTTCTCTTCTTTCGTACACAACCAGTCTCAAGTTTAATGTTGGTTTGAAAAGTTGATTTGTTGTGGGTGTATGGGTATTAAGGATGTGATTCAACTTACTTGAACTATCAAGGGAGGCTCATTTTAGTCATATGTGGTTTTAATCATTTTCGGTGTGGTTTTGTTATGTGTGGCTAGGGTTATAAAACAATGCTCTGTTTTTTAGTGAATGATGTTCTGTTTTTCAGTCATTGATGTTGTGTTGCTGATGAAAATGAATGAAAAATAACATATTTTTATTGTTGTAACCGTTGTAATGTGATGGTTAAATGTTTTGTTAATGGGTACATCAAAGATTGTTAATATAACTGTATGACTTGTTATTGATGAGTGATTGTGACATGTTAATATGAAGGATGGCAACTTCAAGTGGGAAGCATTTGTTTTGTTACCTCCATATAGGAGGATAATTTATTAATGGTGTGGAAGGTGAAACGTAATGTGTTGGAGGTAGTGTGAGAACAAGAATGATAAAGAAGAGACATCATATGAAGAATTTAGAGCAATAGTAGCATCAATTGTGAGAAAAAAAAAGTAATAGAATGGTTATGAAATTCACAGTAACCTTTGATGAGTGTACATTTGTGGACCTTGTAGATGATGAAGGAGTGGAACATTTGATTAACTTCAATGGTGACAGTGGTCATGTATTGATAGGAGAAAATAGAGATGAAAATTCACAACTAACAAGGGATGTTCTAATAGAAGAGCAACATGTATAAGTTGTATTATTTAAATTTTAATGTAATGTTGGCTATTATCTATTGTTGTGCATAAGTTGTTATTATAGTGATCGAAGGTTGTCATTAATGACCCCATGAGCTGTCCTGTTATGTAGGATGGAAGACTTGTTTAGAGGTTCAAATGCATTGTCCATGTCTCCACCCAATGTGGTTGGTGAAGACCTACTATCATCGCCATATGGTTCAGAAATGATGCCAACCCCAATTTCAGAAATGAATTCAATAAAGCGGAAGGGTTTGGTTATTGGAGAAGGAAAAATTTTTCCTAATGCAGTGGCCCTTAGGCAAGCACTATATAGGTATAGTATTATTGTGAAGTTTTCATACAAATTTGTGAAGAACAATCAACAAAAGATCATTGTGAAGTGTATGGCGGAGGGATGCTGGTGGTATATGGCTACATACTTAATGGGACAAAGATAAGATTATGAGTTCTTAATAATAAAATCATTAAGAAGTGAGCATGCGCATTGTGCATAAGACAACTTGGTTGTATCTCACTTTGGAAGGTCAAACTTAATATTATCAATCATGATAGATTCTTTGAGGTGTGATCTAGACAAAAATGCTAATGAAATTAGAAGAGATTTGTACAGAGAATATGGGGTGCGGCTAAATTATAGTCAATCATACAAGGGCAGAGAAAGAGTATTGAGGGAAATACATGGTCGTGCATAGGATTCATACATGGTGATTCTTTAGATTTGTGAAAGGCTTATTGAAACTGATCCAAACACAATTGCTTGATGGGAAGGGTTGGATAGTAACAGATTTGAGAGGGTGTCCATTGCTTATGGATGCTTAATTAATAGATTTTTAGAAGGATGTCGAAATATACTTTATATAGACGGATGTCATTTAAGTAGTCCTTATAAGGGGACATTGATTTCATCTAATGCATATGATGCAGATAAATGACTGTTTCCATTAGCATATGCTATAGTCAATGGAGAGACATATGATGATTGGGATTGGTTTCTCCAGAATGTCAAAGACATCATAAGATCAGTGGAGGCAACGATAGTTTTAGATCAAAATAATGCCATTATAGGTGCTATGCGGATAGTATTTGGTGGTGAGAGACATGCTTTTTGCTACAGGCATGTGAAAAAAAAAATTTTAGTGCACATTATTTAAAAATTAACCAAGGCAGGGGATGAGTTTCAGATACTTCAAAGGAGGTCATATTGAAAATGCTGGATGGAATCACCTACGCAAGGATTGAGGATGAATATGTTGCCGCAATGGGGAAACTTAGATCATTTTATCTACAATTAGCTGATTGGGTTGAGACTCAAGGAGATGTAGATTGATGGACTTTAAGCAAATTTCTGTTTAAACAATGGGATAACATCACCACTACTGTTGCAGAGTTGTTTAATGCCTAGATTTTGAAGGAGAAGAAGCACAATGTGTCAGTTCTGATACATGAGCATATGGAGAAATTAGCCAAGAAGATGGTTGCAAGCAAAATGGCAATAGGAAATTAGACAAATGGCGTTGGGCCAAATATTGAGTCCAAGTTGCAAGAATAAGTAGTAAGAGCGAAGAATATACATAGTGTATATTATGGAGATAACCGAGTTCAAGTTCATACTACATCTCCTACTAGAATAAGTTGTGTCATTATTGATCTCACGACACACAAATGCACTTGTTTAGCATGACAAATGAGTGGAGTACCTTGTGTTCATGCATTGCAGTGATAAAACTACTTCACGGTAGTATCTATGAATTTGTAGATGATTGCTATAAACTGTTAGCCCAAGAGAAGATATACATAAGTAGTATGAGACCAATTACGACACATGATTGTCCACGTTCTAAAGCTCTCACCGTTACACAGATGATGACAGGGACATTTTTACAGCCACCAATCACTAAAAGACCCTCAGGGAGGCCAACAAAAAGAAGGATTGACTCTCAATTTCAAAACAAAAAACTTTATCACTGTGGAAGATGCTATGAGCCAGGCCACACTGTGAAGACTTACCAGAACCCCAATCCAAGTTTAGCATTGTTGGTGGCTTGTTTATATTTCTTTTTGTGAATGCTTGTGATAGAATTGTTTTGTAAATGTCATAACCTACATCGCAAGTTATTCATCATTATCAATACATGCAACCCGTATGTTTTTTTTGAGTGGGTTGTAGATTTGGTGTAGTTACATTGTACATATATATATCAAGTGGTAAATGAAATCTGGTTGTAATCTGATATAAGATCATATCCGTATTTTGATGTAGTTGTGAATTTGTTGTAATGGACTTGTTACCAGACTCCATGGAGGTTGTCATTGGTAGTTTGAATTATATTACTGATATAAAGTGACAATTTCTCCTACTCGTAGTGTTCAATTATTACTTAACACATTGTGTTAAAGTTGTAACATGATATGATTTGGTTATAATTTGATATTATGTAGAGGTTGTGATATCGCACAGCGTGAGTTGTCAGGGGTATTGCAAAGGTTATTAACCACTTGTCTTCAGGTTGCCAATACTCACCGTTGAGGTTGTAAATGAATTGATGCAGTAAAAATTTGGTGTAATCCTATTGTGGACAGTTATAGCTGTTAATGACTTCAAAATGCTCCCAATTTTTTTTATTAAGGTCATTATATGTGCTGATAATACAATTTATTTAGAAGCTATGGTATCCCACAACGTGAGTTGTCAGGGACACTGTCCAGGTTGTTAACCACTTGTGTTCGGGTTGTCAACAATCCCCGTTGAGGTTGTAAATGGATGTGGCAGAGAGGATTATGATCTATGCTTATCACGTCATCATAGTTACCATTTGTTTGGGACAATTTATTTAGTCTGTATTTGTGGACATGATCTGGGTATGGAACAAAGAATTTCCTGTCTTGTCAAAACACATGAATGCCATTACAAAAACTTCATAACCAGTAAAGGATGTCAATACACATTAACATATCCTAACATCCAGCTGTTATTACATGGTCAAATGAAGAAACAAAATATGTTCCTTAACATTCAGCTGTCAAATAAAAAAAACTAAATACAATCTATACTCATCGTTTATTTCTTCCTCTTGCTTTGGGGGTTTCCTCGTAGCAAAGACAGCACTTGATCACCATACAAGTTGTGCTACTGAGTTACGAGCCACTACAAGCATCCAACCTTTAAGTTATGGATTTCTTGAGGGGAGCACTTAGGCATTGTGTAGCCGTCATCACCATGCTCCGTGTTGTCCCATATTTACAACCAGCTCAAAACATGAACCCAATAAGAGTCCTTGCAAAGGAAAAACTAGTACTTTAGTCAATGAACATTCGCTCCTAAAAGCTCAAACATGCAAACTTGCAGTGCACAACAACAACTCACGTGTCAGATTGCACATAAGCTTTTGCCTATGTGACATCATTGTCAATTTTGTCCTCTTCTTGAAATAGTACGGGCTTTACTACACAAAATACTTGGTAGAAACAATCTTTTTGCAAAAAAGAAAGAAGAAAAGAAACAAGTTTGACAGCAGTGAATGACAAGTTATAAGGAAGCATTAACAACCTTCACAGTAGCAAATGACAAGTAATCAACAAGCATTAACAATCAGGATAGTTACACAGACAAGCAATCATAACACATTAACAAGTAATAGAATGAATGAAAAGTTGTGCATATAATCCCTCTTGCCATAAATTGCTTAGGATCTATCTATCCTTTCCTAAACCCTTGCTTCCTTTTTGGTTTCTTTCCCGTTTTGATTGTATTTTCTTCCTCTCTTTATATTCTCAACATGGTCAAATTATCGACCAATGAATCAAGGGCATAGAAACGCATGGTTCTTACATCTATCACATAATAGAACTAATGGTAATTGAAAAGGGTAGGGCTAAATATGAAGTCACAGTCTCCAATAGTATATCCTAAGTGCTTTGGCAAGATTTCATATTCATGGTTTTCTATACTCCACGTAAAAGGATTAGTGGCCATTGTTTGTATGAACTCGCGTGAAAATATGTGCCTATTGACATGACCGTAGTTCTCTTTCTCATCTCCCACCAAAGTTCTTGCCACCATAGACATGAACTATATCACAAACACAAACAATTAGTCATAATCATAATGACATTGCTACTTCTCTATCTATGTAAACAATTGTCTTACCCTGTCGTTCATCCATTTCCTGTCTTATAGGTAGTAAAGTTCAGCACATGTCAGGAAGTACCCATACATCTCTACAATGTACGTACAAGAAAAGAAACAACCAGCAATTAAGTTGTATGTCTAAAATTTTTGTCAGTCAGTTGTCCCAATTAGAATCAGTCCCAATACTTACGTGCTACCTTCATCTTCATCACACCTTGTTGTCAACATTTGGAATAATTCCTCTTTCTCATCAAGTTTTCTCTTGCTACGGCCTTTTTTCACCTCCTCTAACTAGGGAGATTTGATTGCTTGACTTCTCATCTGTGTTGATCTTCTTACTTTTATTTGCTGTTGTGCTTTCTTGTTCATTTCATCCTTTCCCTCCTCATCATTGCCTTTCCCCTTATCCTTTTTTGCTATTGCATCACCAGACTTGTCTTCAGATTTTTCTTCTCCATCATCCTCTGATCCAGAGTCATTCCCTTCTCCTTTCTCTTCATGTTGAGATTAGCTCTCTTCTTCAGGTAGAGCACTTTTCTCCTCTTCTTTATCATCTTTTTCTGGTTTACTCTCTTCTCCTTTCTCTTTATGTTGAGATTTACTTTCTCCTTTAAGCGAACCACTTTTTTCCTCTTCCTTATCAACTTTCTCTGGTTTACTCTGTTCTTCCTCATCTATTAAATCTTTTGGGCTTTCTTTACCATCTCCACTAGTTTCTTCATCTTCACTTGAGTTCTCTTCATCATCTTTGCTACTTCCTACTTCCACCACATCTTCCTTCTCACTCTTATTCATTAACCTTAATTGCAGGAAGCCAACTCTTCTCTAATTATCGACATCAACCCTTCAACCATGGTCACCAACCTTTCATACATTCTCTTTATTTCCTACAAAATAATAGTAATTAAAGTAATCATTACTCCAAATTGTACATAGCACCAAAATAAGCTCAACATTATTTACTTACCGGGTGGGTTAGCTTTATTTTTGTATTGGATGCACTAGATGAGGCCCCACCGACGTTGGTAACACCATGTAGTAAGCCTTTGTCACTACTTTTTTCTGATTTTACTCTTGCCTTCACTTTTTTCTCATCTTAATAGATAATGGCATTCTTATTTTTTGAAGTCCTTTCTTTTCCCAAAGGAAAGTATTGTAAGCAATAAATCTATATATCAAGTAAATGATAACTTAGCCGTACAACAATGACAACATGCAAAGAGGCCACTAATAACATACACACCGGCCAATCACAACCTACACAAAAGCCAATCACAACCTGTATTTGTGCCATCCACAACATGCACAGAAGCCAATCACAACCTACACTTAATCGAATGACAACATACATAGTATACAGTCATAACCTACATATAAGCCAATAACAACTTACATTTGTGCCATTCACAACATGAACATAAACCAATCACAGCCCATACTTAACCCAATAATAATATGCACAACATAGTCACAGCCTACATATAAGCCAATAACAACCTACATTTGTGCCATTCACAACATGCAGAGAAGCCAATCACAACCCACATTTAACTGAATGACAACATGGACAGCATATAGTCACAACCTACATATAAGCCAATAACAACCCATATTTGTGCCATTCACAACATGCACAGAAGTCAATCATAACCCACACATCACCAAATGATAACATGCACAGCATACAGTCACAACCTACACATCAGCCAATCACAACCTATGTTTGTGCCATTAACAGCAGCTAATTACAACCTATAAATAAGTGACTGACAAACCAACAGAGACCACTGACATGCATAGCAGCCAATTACAACATATACATAAGTAAGGGACAAACCAATAGAGGCCACTAACAACATGCACACTAGCCAATTACAACATATGCATAAACAAGTAACAAACCAACAGAGGCCAATGACAACGTGCACATAGGACAATAACAACCTTCACACGAGCCAATTACAACATACATATAAGCATTTGACAATGTCCATACCAGCGAATGACAACATACAGAGTAGTAAATGAAAACACATAGAGCAACCAATTACAAGATACATAGCACCAATTGATAATAGCACATCGCACATTGACAATACAACTAACATCAAAGTAATGAATCATACCCGCACTTATTGTTAAAAAGTACAAGCAACCTCTCACATTTTTGGTCCCATAATCTTTTCCTTTCTTTTTTCCTTTCTTGAACTCTGCAATTGAGTTACAAAATTCTCTAAAAATAAAGCTTCTCTAATCATGCTGTCCTAAACTATCATTTGTCGCCATCATGACCTTCAATACTTTATCACTGATCCATACACTAGAGCCAGGACACAAGAGGACTCCTAATGCATACATAACAAAAAAGGAATTCAAACTTTTCATCCTCTTTGCCTTCAATCAATCATTTTCCTATTATTTTGTGTGGTACTTTCTTGTAGTCACTTTTTAATTCCTTAAATGTTTCATCTTCATTCTCCACATTCATTTTAATTTCTTTCCCCTTAAATGGTAGGCCCGTCAATTGATTTACATCTCTGGGCCCCATTTGATGCGTCTTCCCTCTAATTGAAATTTTCTTACTTACAGGATCAAACACATGGATCAATTCACCATAAAAATCTCTATAAATTTGTGAGCAGCATATTTCAACCAATTTATCAAAACCAATTATTTTCAGCCTTTCCATCTTATGTTCCCTTTTCTTTAAGTGTTTGTAAACTTCCATAAATTGTCCCAGAGCACACCGTGTGTGGAAGGGAACAATATAATTCTTCCCTTTTAGTGGGACTCTCATTTCTTTATCCCTTCCACTGTATTGTTCTCTTTCCTCTTTTGTTAACATCCCCCAAGCCTTTTTCACAGAGTTACTGCCCTCTTCAAAAGACTTGAACTTCTTCTTGTTCTTCCCATAAAATTCCTCAGTAAATAGTGTGTATCCTGAGAAGTTCCTACGCTTTTGTCCATCTTTGCTCTTACTCTTTTAGCCATTTTGTTCAACTGCAAAAAAGAAAAACAATATTGTCATCACATTATAAGTTTCCAATTGCTTGTCACTATCTTAACCAATTACGATGTTCATATTAGATAGAGAAGTTTAGGCTTGACTTTCTTTCATATTTTCTTTTCTACTGAAATCTAATAACATCTTCTGCAAAATAAAAAGGACAACTATGTTCCACCTTACTTTCAATATACCATGTATTTTTATCTTCAAAATCTGAGATACAGTACCTATAACAGCTTACTTCTAAAGTATCAGTGTTTCATGAATTTTATGAAAGCTCTAGGATATCCAGCTCTCCTACCCATATAACATACTAACTCTATTATCTGAATGTTATCCTTATATATATATATATATATATAAAAGGAATCAAAACTTCATTACAAGGAACCCAAAAATAATAAATTCTACAATAAAGTTGAAAATTGCCATCCATCAACGTTGGAATACTGAAAATCAGATACAGAAACAAAAATTACATAGCATAGGCAAAAATCGTGCTTGCTAGATCTAACATTCTCACCTTGTGGTGTTCTCAAACTCAAAGCGCTAGAGCAGGCTTTTTAGGAAGGTGGGTCACCGACGGTAGTGGGTAAGACAATGTGAGAGAAGTGAAGATAATGGAGACGCAGTGGGTTGTGCTTGCCTGCAGTAGTTCCTTTTGCCGACAGGTTAAGGTAATCACAGGTTGCGGGAGATAAAAAAAATGAGAACAGTAAAAACAAAATTCCATGGAATTGTTTAGATGATGGCAAAGTGAAACATCCTTCTTTAACTTCTCATGGTATGCATTAAGAAGCATTACGGTTCAAGCGATTCATGATACAAGCCCACAGATTGAAATTTGTAATTGGTTCTCGGGTTACTGTTTAATGGTAAATTTCAGATTTTTAGTCCAACTTTAGAAATTCATATCTCCTTGTGTACATATCTAATTAAGGTGTTCTATCTCTCATTTTAAATCTTGGGATGTACACAACACGTCTACCAAATTTCATGGCTTAAATCATCCATTTGGTGGGTCAAACTGGAGTTGGAAGTTGACTACTCCAAGACCTACGTTTATCCATTAGACAGTTCTTGTTTTAATTCTCTTTTTTATTGCTTTAGCATGCATAACTTGGCCTTATCCTTTCCTATTCATTCTCATACATTTCCATTTATGCCATAAACATTCTAAACAATTACATCGTATCATTGGCATTCATATATATAATTTACACAATATGAGAATCATACATTAACCAATAGCTTCATTCATTGACATGAATAATTCTCCACTTTCTTCTCCTTCCTTCTCATGCTCTCCTTCATGCAATTATTGTCCATCATACTTGACCTAAATGGTTGGTTAGGGAAGGGGTGAGATTCAGGAGAATCTCAGTAGCAAACAATAACCACCCAAACATACATGGCAAGCTTGGCATTTATAACGTGCTTGCAACTTGACATCTTTATAACATAATGACATGTTTGGAAATCATCATGCATTTATCATAAAACACATAGCCCTATGAAATATTTCAAACACATTCACAATCACAACACATGAGTTCATAAAATCATATAACATACAAACATGTCGTACATGTAAGCAAATACCAAGCACATAAGACTAAGGTCAAGTTTGCTACCTTGTGTTTTTAAACTTTCTCTTGTTCTTCAACTTGCTCCGTAAGCTTCCCAACCATCTAGATTTTGGTCAACCATATCCAAACCTTCTCTTGGATGTCTCAAGGCCCTAATCACAGCTACAAGGGTCACATTACTCAATAGGACCAAGAATTAGATAATATGGAAGACTTGTGTCCTTAAACTTAATCCATTTTTCCTTAATTTATAATGTAGTGTTTTAGCTTTGTAAAAATTGTTCCCTTAGGCCAATCCTACACAATTTTTCTCAAGAAATCCAAATATGAGCTTAGATTCATTAAAATCCAACTCCTTCCCCTAGTCCAAGGCTAAAATCAAAATATGCCACTAAATTTCTAGTTTTTATTCCAATGCTTCCAACTTCATTCTTTCATCTTATCCCTACACAATTTTTCATTTTAAACATATTGGAAGTATCAAAATCATCAAAATCACATCCTAGGTAGAAGAACCAGGTTTGATCGAAATATTTTCTCAAGTTACACAATCATGAAATTCAACCAATTTCAGCATAAAATCACTTGATTCGTGTTCCTTTCAAGCCTTTGAACATTATTCTAACATCAATTTCATCTTTCCTAACTCTTAAGAATTTTGTGCAGCATAACCCCCCTAGGGTTTCAAGCTCCCAAAAATCATAAAAATCCATAACCAAGCTCAACAACAGTAAGAGTAGTGAAAACTACATCAAAAACCATAAACATACCTTGTTTTAGAGCTTGATCTTGCATGAGACCACTTGGCCTTTCTTTCTCCCTCTTCTTTCTCTCTCTAGAAACCATTTTACCAAAGCTTCCCTAAGATTTCCTCTAGGTTGGACAAAAATGACAGAGGGGAGGGGGTATTTATAGAAAACAAGACTGAATATGGGCTGTTGATTTTAAAAAATGTGTGGCTTGATCTGAACCGTCCATTTTCTTTTCTAATCTTATGGTGACAAGTATCCTATGACATCATGCTTACCTCATCATGATGATATCATGCTTACATCATCAATCCACATGCTTTTAATCAAACCGTACACGTGTCTTGCATCCAATCATACACATAATACCTTTTTTTCCTATCTAACCGTACACTTTCTCCTCCATATTCCTTCATCATTTTGGCATTAAAATAGGGAGGAAATTAATAT